TGACCTGGATGACAGCATGAAATGGGGGAAAAGGGGATATTCTCAACTATCAAAGACTTCAGAGTCTATGTCAAAAGGATTGAGCAACCAGCTTCCACTGTCCAAAAATTCAACCACTGGAGCACCAATTAAGTATAATAACTGCAATGGATAAAAACACATCAAATAGATAGAAATCTGTAAGTTTACAGTAATACTTAAAAAACACACACCCTCACTGGTTAGTTTCGGAACGTGCTAGGCAATCAGCTCAAATTTTGAAAACTGGTAAATAGAAAGTAAGGATCAAGCCCTTTTCTCCCCTTTCCTGTATGAACCGTGCTGCACGTTAAAAAAAAAAGTGTAGGAGAAAGTTCGTCTTCACAGCAGTACCTGCAGCTGACGCCCGAGGAAGGAAGGAGAGCACAGTGCCGCCACCGCACCCCTAGACTCACCGAACCCCGCAGTGCTCACGGACCGCCGACACCACCGGGAGGCCCCCGGGCGTCACAGGCCTCATGATGGAAACGCACAGCATCGCGTGGAATAATCTTGCCCCAAACCCCAATCAACAGAGAACCGTTAAACTGTATGAGAGGCTGTAGTGAGCGAATTCCACACTGGGAAGTGCCACGGTGCAAACGACCTGGTCTCTTCTGCACATAAACTGCAGCGCAAAAAGGGAAAAGCGAGCCGACAGGCCAGGAGTGACCGACAAGGCATCTGACTGACTGCACTGGGTGGACCTTATTTGCATCCGGTTCAAGTAATCTGTTTTAAAGAACTGCCATATTTGAATATCGCTGGATAAAGAATTAATGTTAATTATTTTTAGAAGTAATAATACATTGTGATTATGTTTTTTAAGGAATCTTCATCTTATAGAGATATTTTCCGATATATTTAGATGAAATGGGATGACAGACGAGGTTTCCTTGGCCACAGCCAGGGCGACGGGGTGAGGGAGAGCACGGGTGACACCAGATCAGCTGTGAGTTGACAACAGTTAAAAGGGGGCGATGGGTATTCGAGATACTTATGTAATTCTCTCTACTTTTGTATATGCTTTAAAATTTCCATAATAGAAACTTTCCATGATATAGAAAAAGCACTTCACTGATCTCAATCTTTGATGAGATTGAGATAATTTTTCTTATTAGCGAATGGTCATGGACTTGGCGCAGGTGATGTTAGGTCCTGATTACATGTAGGTTGTCTTCAGATGGCAGGAATGAAGGAACAGCAAACCAGTTTTCTAAGGAAGCTTGGGTTGTGTATAAAGATCGTCACCTTGAACAGGCGAGGTTATCACAAATTTAGGTTCCACAAGAGATTATGGTAAAAATATCAGTGCTCTTAACATCTTAACACCGTGTTTTCCTCCAGGTTCCTATTCCTCTGGCACCTTCCACTAAACAAGTGCACCCCCTTACGCCCACCCGCACCCTCATACAACTCCTGCCTGCTCCACCACCTTTATAATCCCCTTCTGAAGACTTACTGCTTCCCCCATCCCTTCTTCCTCCTAAGGCCCCTGACAGTTTCCAAAGGTTACGATCTATCCTTTCTTTGATTTATATTTATCCCTTTGAATTCCATGGTGCCTTCCACTGGATAACTTCTATATAACCTTTTTCTGAAATGAATTATCCCTAAATGATACTTCTTCAGAAATGTTCCTCATCAGTTTGGAGGTGGCATTCTGGCTCCCATCTTCCCAATGTTAATCAGACTACACTTGTCTGTCCTGTTCTGTCCTTCTATTCCTCCATTCTCTACCCAAACTGAAAGGAGGAATAGTAATAATCATAAAAAGATATCACTATGTGTTGTTTTCACTAGAATATAATTTCTTAGAGGGCAGTAACCTTCTGCCTTTATTATGGTTTTCCTTTTCCATCATGTTATGGGCATATACCTATTATTATTTGAAAATACAAGGCCTGTTTTCTATTAATATTTATAGAATTCAAAGTCCTGCCACAGGGTAGGAATTCAATCCATTTTTGTCAAATGAAATATTTCAATCACAGAACCTCAGAGACAACTGAGGTCCAGGGAACCTATGAGATGCACAGAAGGTCACAAAATCTGTCACCACAAGTGTCAGGATTCTATAGTCCAGATCTCGTGACCCTTGCCCAGGCTGTGCCCTCCTCATGGTCTGTTGTACCTCTTGCCAGTCTTATCAAAAGACATCAACAGGGCCTAAAGTGAGACAAAAGAAGCCCAGAGTAGCAGGGGCTAAATACTTAAAGAATCATCATAAATTATCAATTAAGAAAATGTGTGCACTAAAGAAAATAAATTTTAACACAGTATTTTGCTCTAGATGCTATGGCCTTTCCAGATTTCTTTATAAAGTGTGCAGGGGAGGTTATCATGCCAGAAAACTCAGGAACACCTAGAAAATTCAGAGAGAGAAATTCTGGTGGGACTGGTTCTCCAGCACTGAATCGATTATCCCCATAGAGAAATCCACCCCCTCCCCTTCCTCAGCACAGCACAAAACCGAAACTGTTGGTACCAGGTCATCCGCAGAGTCTTATCTTTCTAGATGCGACCAGATTTGAGGGAAAGGGACAATGACCCCTTAGTAACTGTTGACTGTGTTCCAGGAATAGGATTAGGTGGCTTATATACACTACTGAGTGTATTCCTTTCAACAACCACATGAGAAAGACATCATCACTTCCACTTAACAGGCTAAACTAATGCTCAGAAGCCACGTGCCCAGGGTAAACCAGCAAGTCTAGATGCAAACTCAGGTCTAGCTGATCCCAAGGCCATGTTCGTCCACACAGTGAAGCTGATGTTTTCATTCAAGAGTGCCAGCCCCTTATCAGTGTCCAAAGAGCCCCAAAATGAGACAGGATTATAACCTCTACCATCTACTTCTAAATCCTGTAAATGTGAAAGCTGTTCTCTTCTTGCTTAATTTATTTTAATTCATATCATCAGTCAAAACATTTTAACATCAGGACAAATTCATCAAAGAAGGCTTTTCGACCCCGAGTTTGGCATATCTTTAAAACTGACAAATAATGAAGTGTCAAGCTGGGTTCCTTAATTTATATGAAGTCACAAATGCTGATAACAGACTTGCCTGATATTTCTCTTAATGTTAACACCTAATTCAATATTCCAGACCTTCTGGCCTCATGAATGCTATAAGACTGTTCCTAGAGGCCCAGGAGGCCGAGCAGCCAACTGAGCCCACCAACATTTCGCCTGGGACTGCAGGCCATCCCCGCTCAGAAGAGGGCCAGTGGTGTCGGTGAGGACAACACCCCTCATAGGCCGGAGGGAGGAAGAGACTAGAAAAGGCTGCCCCATGGAATTTAATAGGCTGCTCTTCTAGAGAGGACACTGTAGTTAAACTAATAAAACGGTATACTACTTTTCCCGATTTCTGCATTATGAACGATGATGTTTTAAAACTCCATACTTTTTAATAAGCATACACGAGGAAATTAAATCAGGCACGGCCTTTGAAATAATAATTTGCCCACCATTACCATTTGTTGTGATATTTTTATTGTAGCGATTTAAAAATCATGCTTGTAAAACACACTGTGTAGAAAAACAAAAAATAATCTAACTTCCTTTAAAAATTGCTGATGTAGAAGCCACATTTCTATGATATACTTTAAATGCTGGATTTCTCTGTTCCCTCTTGGCCATCCACCCTAACCCCAAGTATGATCTCTTTTTTAAATAACAGCCAACATTAACGGTCATGCTTATCAAGTGTTTGAGTTGATTCCTGGTCGAGCAGGACGACACACTTGGCGGGGTTTGGACAAAGGCGAGACTACGTCATTCGTTATCAGTCATGGCTGTGCCTGCGGATTCCTCACATGCACTTGTCAAGCTCAGGAGGGATCACTCAGGCTGGGACACCAGAGCGTGTCACCATTCTAAGTGAGAATACAGATAATAGTATCCCCTTTGTCACTGCTCCCAAAGTTTAATTACCACGCCCTCACAGTTTATTCTGAGGGAAAAGATAATACACATATTAAAACAATTCTGGAATTATATGGCCAGATGAGTGCCACTTATCTTTTTTCCGTGTGTTAAATCGCTGCTATACACTCTTTTTGGAGTGCTTAACAATTGTGTTAGAGAAGGGACATCCAATGATGCTTAGAAATGTGATACACATTTTCATTTCACACTCCATCAGCTTTTACAACTGCGGCTCAATGAAATGTAAGAGAGAACTTGGCAAACAGCCATATTTACCAAGGTATAAAATAGTGGTCAGGTTACTGTTTTATAGAAAGAAAAAAATGTTTAATTCTCAGTCCACATGACTAAAGCAGATATTCAGCTAACACCCTACAGTGGTGATTTTCGACCGGTGGGCCGCAAGAATTTTTAAAACGTGCAACACCTGACTGCTTAGGGGCACTGACCTCTTTTCCTTGAGTTTGTCAAATAAAAAAGTGACAACAGCCAACACAACAATAGCCGTCCGGTGTGAATGAATTGAAATTATACCACTATTTTTGTCAGATCGGCATAAAACACATTTTTTGGTGTGCCGCAGAATTTTAGTAATTAGCTTACGTGTGCCACGAGATGAAAAAGGGTGAAAACTGCTGCCCTAGAGAAAGGCACCGTAAGCACATATACTGACATGGTTTAGTGCCTGTTTAACGTAGGTTTTTACTATATTATAAACAGCTTCGTAAAGCAAGAAACGATGTCTCCCCCACCCCCTTCCGTTCTACTGACACAGAAACATACTGGATCTGATCGCCTTCAGTGTAAAATCTTTCACCTGAAAATAATGGCTTTTGCCTTCAGCTTCTAGGCTAGAAGCAGAAACAGCTCATTCCCTTAACAGGCAGAGAAGGAAGAAAAAGCTAAAGGCATCAGCAAAAATGCACCTTTCTAATTCCGATTTCAGTCTGTCGGGAAGGATTACAGCCTCGCGCAGACACTCAGCGGGAACTATGAACGGCAGCAGGAGCGCGGCCTCGCTGGCAGGCAGGGGGGCGTCTTCTACTCACCTCGGTCAAACCTGAGACTTCTCCTTTTGCTAACGGTTTGCTGATGGATGGAGTGTATACTCTGGCGTCTGCTACTGGCTGCCCTTTCATAAAGTGCTTCCCGGATTCATAAATGTCCACTTCGACCATTTTCCCCATGAATGTGGGGTTCTTTGGCACTAAAACCTTTAAAAAATTTTCAGAAGGATTAATTTTTTAAATAAGCTTTTAATTTTAGAACAGTTTTAAATTTATAGAATTATTGCAAAGAAAACACAGAGAGGTCCTGTAGACCCCATACTCAGTTTCCCTGTGAAAACATTTTACATGAGCCTGACAGACTTTTCATGAGCCATTCTTGGTATACAACTATTAACTAAAGCCCATACTTTATTCAGAATTCCTCAGCTGTCCACTAATGTCCTTTTTCTATTCTGGGATCCACCCCAAGTGGGCTCTGCCTTCCAGCTGCTCCAGGACCTGGGGACCGAGCGGGAGGGGGGCACTCTGGGAGGGCGGCTGCGGACAGGGCTCCTCCATCGCAGGACGCCCGCTGTCCTCAGGCATGTGGGAGGCAGACCTGGGAAATCCCAGCCGGCAGCCAGTCACTTTTGGACAGGCCTTTGATATTCTGCTCTTGGCTGCCCCATGCAATGACGGAAACCGAGACAACACTGATGAAAGCCTCCTATTTTTAATACCTTCCAAGTTAGCTGTCAGAGTACTGGTTCGGGTAGGCACTTCAAATAAAGGCCTGCATGTTTGCGTGTACGTATGTGTGTGCGTGCGTGCATGAGCGTGTGTTTTGGGGGAAGAGAAAGAACATTTAAAAGCAGCCTTTTTGAATATCCTAAACATGGGTGTTTGGAGGTAAATGGCTCCTTTAACTGGTTGCCATTCAGTTCTTTGGATCTGAAAAACGCATGTATTTGTTAGTCCCACCTCCATGTAGGATCAGCTACTCTGAAGGGGACTCTGGCCAGTTCACAGGAAACTGACAGATGGTCTCTTTCCACTAGAGGTTTCGGATAAAGGTGCTTGTTTACCTTGAGGAAATGTCCCCCCTGCATTGGGACTCGCAAGGAGTCTATGCGTTACGTCTCCCTTGCACTTCTATTTCAGGACTGTAGCTACTGGCCGATCTTTTAAAGTTAGGATCCAAAATAAAGAGACTAATTCTAACCCAGCAATACTTTGATATCTTGATACAATCTTTACTTCTGGAACTCATCTCATTAGAAAAATAATTCCTATGAAATCTTTGATACTTAGTTGTAGAGACAAAAAGGTCAGATGAGAAGTTGCACAGCCAGTTTCTCTGAGAGGCAAGAGTGGGTCCTGCCTTTCTGCGTTTCACTTTTCATGACCACTGAGAAGGCTGCTTCATCAAAGTGGAGAAGAAGGTCACCTGGGTGGCGAATTACTCATGGCAAGCAGACGAACTAAAAGAGCTTTAGTATCAGAATATGAAAGCCCTTTTAAATCAGTTTTTATAAAATGAGAAAATCTCTAGAGTAAACTGTCCCGCGGAGATCTGGTATGGTTCTAGGGGAAAATAACTCTCCTTGATCTGCTGCCTTGATGTGAATGAAGGGCTCAGTGTTTTTCCCCCTCCGGTTTTAATAATTGGAAAAAGCCTGGCTGCTTTAAATTGGAGGAAACAGCTAATGAGGCATGCCATTGCCTTTAAAATGAAGGGAAAAAAAGTTCCCCGCTGAGGCAAAAACCCAGATGGCAAGAGAAAGGAGAGGGAAGAGGCAGCGAAAATACAATCAAGCTCCTCCCCAGGGCTGAGCAGAAAGTTGGCCTGAATAGGAAAACGGCTCTCTGGAGTCAATTAATGAGATGGAAAAGCGGGGAGAGGCTCAGCTCAAACACGCGTGTTGGAAATCCCTCCTCAGCTGCTGTGTCCACCGGTCCTGGGCAGGGCTTGTTTAGTCTGGGCCTTGAGAAGCTCCCCCGCCTTCCTGAGGACCCGGGGCCAGTGAGATGGCTCCTGGTGGGACACCAGTGCTGGAGGCTCTTCAGCTCCCGCTTCCCAGCTCTCTAACACGCACACGTGGCCGCCCTTGACCATCCCTACCTGACTTGCCCACACTGGTCTTAAGAGCCTTCCCAAGCTCTAATTCCAGCCATGACCCATAGAAAAAAAATTCACTTTTTATTTGATGAGAAAGGGACCAAAGGGAAGAAAACCCATCTGATCTTGATACAATCCAGAATGACTCATGAAATCCCTGTCCCCGTGAAAGCCCCCCACCTAAGCGGGCATATCCCATCTCTACATCCCGATGCCCTGGAGGAGGCTTACTGTTTTCTTCAGTCACATTGAATTGCTTTCCCTCCCAGGCAAGTGGAGTCCCGAATGCTGAACCGGAGTCTGGCTGTGGGGAGGCAATGCAGGCCGGCTTGGTGGGCAGGGAAAGAAGCCCCTCGGGTGGGCAGGGAAAGAAGCCCCTGGGTGGGCAGGGAAAGAAGCCCCTGGGTGGGCAGGGAAAGAAGCCCCTCAGGTGGGCAGGGAAAGAAGCCCCTCGGGTGGGCAGGGAAAGAAGCCCCTCGGGTGGGCAGGGAAAGAAGCCCCTGGGTGGGCAGGGAAAGAAGCCCCTGGGTGGGCAGGGAAAGAAGCCCCTCGGGTGGGCAGGGAAAGAAGCCCCTGGGTGGGCAGGGAAAGAAGCCCCTGGGTGGGCAGGGAAAGAAGCCCCTCGGGTGGGCAGGGAAAGAAGCCCCTGGGTGGGCAGGGAAAGAAGCCCCTGGGTGGGCAGGGAAAGAAGCCCCTCGGGTGGGCAGGGAAAGAAGCCCCTGGGTGGGCAGGGAAAGAAGCCCCTGGGTGGGCAGGGAAAGAAGCCCCTCGGGTGGGCAGGGAAAGAAGCCCCTGGGTGGGCAGGGAAAGAAGCCCCTGGGTGGGCAGGGAAAGAAGCCCCTCGGGTGGGCAGGGAAAGAAGCCCCTGGGTGGGCAGGGAAAGAAGCCCCTGGGTGGGCAGGGAAAGAAGCCCCTCGGGTGGGCAGGGAAAGAAGCCCCTGGGTGGGCAGGGAAAGAAGCCCCTGGGTGGGCAGGGAAAGAAGCCCCTGGGTGGGCAGGGAAAGAAGCCCCTCAGGTGGCCTCGGAGAGGGTCTGGCTCCTAACTGCTCTCCAGAGCTGTTCCCACAATTTGAGCTGAATCCAAGGAACAGACTCTTTCCCCTTTGCTCCCAGTATTTTTATTGAGGTGGGAGTTAAAAAAACAAATACTGAAACTAAACAAAACTAAACAAGCCCCAGCCAACCAATGAGCCCGCCTGAGGGCCCTGACGTCAGAGGAAATCCCTGCCCTTCCCCGCCATGTTGCCCCTGCAGACATCCTTCCTGTCCCTGCACAGGACTTTCCCCTCGACTTGGCCAGGCTGTGGGGACTTTGGCAGGGACAGCGGCCTGTTCCAATCCCCCGGAAGCCCAAGGCTGGCCCTGTCAAAGGCTACTGAGGGCTAAAACACACGTATTCCTTTGGGAAGAAAGCTTTGTAGACTAAGTCACAGAGAGAAGCCCCGCGTGAGCCCGGCCGGCTTGATGCTGTACTCGCCGCAACAAGATTCTACAGCCCTCCCCCACTTCTAAGTTCCTTTTGCTTAAATGGCCTTACTTTCAGGACTCTCTCTCATTCTGGAGAAAAGTTAAGAACACAGAAGCATCTCTTACCTGCTCATAGAATCGATTGTGTGCAACGTAAAACTTGGAATCAAAAGATTCTTCTGTTACTAACACTTGCTGTCTTTCACCAATCTGGGAAGAGAAGGGGGGAGAGGGGTGATGAGGGAAAACACCTGAGAATTCGAAATAACTGCCCGCCCCGTAAGTAGCATCCTCTTGAACTTAAAGTAGGCTCTAAATTGCTAGTTACTTAACAGCTAATACAAGAATCATGGATTCAAATATCATGAAAGACATTATTAACAATTTGGTAATAAAAATGAGTGTAGTATGAAGTCTGATTTTCTTATATAAGTGTGAAACAAAACATGATCTTATTTCCTCCTTCAACATAAGATAATTAAGGCTTCTAAGAGATATAAAAATCTTCTAAATATCACTTTGTTTCTTGAAACAAAGTTGCAAAACAAGCCAGAACAAGCTGCTTCAAATCCAAATTCATGAAAATATTTTGGCAATATGAAAGAGTAGTAATAAACATTAATTTGAGTTATGAGGGGTGCAATACTAAAGCAAATGCTTCCAAAAACTAGTCATTAAGTCTGTGCACCTAAACATTCCGCATACTATTCTGAAATTACCGATGAATTCACACAGCTGTTTACTTATCACATACATTTTCTCTGTCACAAGCAACTGTCTCTTCTATGTTACAGCCATGATCCCATATTAATATTTTTAAAGAGAAATACAGCAAAAATATGGGACTGTTAATTCTCTACTAGATCAATCTACATTTATCTACATTTATGATCTAAGCATGCATTTTTAATAACTGAGAAGTTAAATCACACAAAACATGGGATAAAGAAATGCGACTATTCTAAAATATTCTACCATTTCCAAGTTTTATTCCACTGTGAAATGTAACATTTAAAGTATCAATTACTTATTTTTACAAGGTTATCAAAATGTCTGATGCAGCAAACCAGCTGTGTTGAATGACTGTGCCCAGAATTATTTTCTCCATTGCTACCTGGTAAATATAACCCTCCATATTAAAGCACATGGCCATGAAGGTTTTGAAAAAGCAATCCCCAGTCTCTTATGTAGGGACTTACCACCATGTTCAGGCAATTCCCATTTAGGAAACATAAACACAGCTGCACTAAATAGACCACCTAACAATTAAAAAAACCCCACCCTCTTCGACATACAAAGCCAATACCTAAATACACCATAATTTACTGTTTTTTTAAATTATCTCATTCAAAATGTAGTCCCCTTAGCCAGAGGTTGTAGGGTTTCTAGGATGATATTTATGAAAGACTTATTTCATTCTCTCAAAACCAATAATAGTTCCTGCAACACTAATTTCTTTTAAAAATCAAGTAGCAACAAAAGAAAGTTCCCCCAACTTCTCCTTTGAGCTCTGTCTATTAAAAAAGACTGACGAATGCTGGGTTTCACTCAAGTATATTTTTGTGCAAGAAAACTTAGAGTGTTTGCATACATTTCACAGTGTGAGTTGCTTATAACTTAGGATAAGTGTCTGTTGATGGTGCTTAAGGAAATCTGCAATCACACTCCATCTAACATCAAGTTTTCGGGAAATTAATCTCACAATAATACGGGATTGTAGAGACACTGAAGCCGAATGCTACTGCTTTTGTCTCGTCAGAGTTAACGCGGACAGTGGTCGCCATCGTTCTGGGGCTCTTCTATTTTATCTGGAGATACTAATGATAATATACACACAGAGTTAGAGGACTTGCTGTGTTTATACAGTAGAGGGCAGGGCTTTCAATCGATCCTCAGAGAACTATCTGTAGGTGAGTATTTAACTATTATTTACCAAAGGGATTCGGAAAGCTGCTATGTGCAGTAATTTTCGGTGGAAACAGCTCTCCAGTCACCCCTTTCACCCTCTCAGCCATGGATGTTTTGTCTCATCAGTGAGGCTCTTAAAACTCCTCAGAGTACTGGGCAAAAATGAGCATAAGGGAGCTAAAACCTTGGTCAAAAGCTGCTACAATCTACCCCCACCCCCTAAAAATACCAACAAAAAGTAATAAATGCTCTCCTCAAAATTTGTTTAAGAATAAAGTTACAATGAAGGGCCTGAAAATACAGCCCTTAAGAGAATCAGCTATTTCAAGTAACCTCAAAAGCAACAGTGATGCTGAGGAAGGGGGAGTTCAGGTGGAACTCTGCAAGATGCAACTCTGCCTCGGTGACACAAGGAAACCTATGGGCAAGGACACGCGTAATAAACCTCACATCTTTTTTTTTTTTAATGAGCCACCTCCCCCTATACTTTCCAACTGTTTTCTCCTCAACACCACAAGATAGCCCAATGTGGTTAAAGACCTACAAATAACAAGGTTTAGGGCAGTCATCCAGATTTGCCTACGAATGCACGGAATCCCAGCTTAAGAGGAAAGAGGCAGGGTGCCCGAGGAAGAAAACACAAGGCCACATATATCCTTTGACAACAGAACAAGCGCCCAGCCATGTATTATTTTAATGGCAGAGATAATGCACTGGAAGTGATCAGATCGGTCTGTCTTCCAGATGATGGAGATCGGGCTTGTCTCATCTGACATTCTGATATTCCCTGGAGAAGAAGCTTCTAGGGCTACCTCTCTACCACTGACAGAACCTTCCCCAAGTGGACCCGCTGACAGGAACGCAAGTGTCCATCACTGGCTTAAGACAAGCCCTCGCAGAACAACAGAACACAAAGAATGCCGTGTAATTTTTAAAATGAACAAACTCCTACAAATGTATGAGGTTGGAAATAACAGTTTTTATAAATTTTGCGACTAATAGCACAATATGGCTGTTCAGCAGAGATGACTAAGATGAAAGTGGAACTATAAACCCAAAGATGGCCTAGAAGGTGGCTTTCAGAGAACTGGGAGAGTCAAGGGGAGCAAGAAAGGGGAACAGGGAACATATCTCAATGTAACAGAGGCCGCAGACAACAAACCCTCAGCTAATACCATACTCAACAGGCAAAAACCTGGGCGAGAGGAAGGGGTACTCAAGACACCCAATTCCACAGAAGGGCGGGACGACTCAGGGTTTGGGCAGATTGTTTTTAAGATAAAAGAGATTTGACTACATTTTGGGCCTTCACATTCCTCGTCAAAAAAATGAGTTTGGTAGAAGTGACAGCAGGTGGAGAGAGGAGTAGGGCAGAAGAGGAAGTGGGTTATAATATTTAAAGGCCCTTTCATTTTCAAAATTCTAAGCCATCATCAGTAGACCTGTAGGCTAGGGACTGGCATGCCCACATGGTTTCAGATGAAGGAAACTGGCACTCTAAATCCAGGCTCTTTTCTCTTACGGCGAATGTATGCTCAGAGCGCTCTGTCATCACTGGATGCTTTCTTGCTGCACTTAAAGTAGCAATGGAATCTTTAATACCCACCAAGAAACATTTACAAAGTCTCTCAAAAAGCTATGGAGTGACCTGAACCTGAAGAAGCCTGTCAAAATCTTTGGAGTGAAGCCCCACCCCCACCTTTTAAAATAATCCTATGAAAGATATCCCTTTTACTTTAAAATTTTTTTAAATTTATTTTTTAATTTATTGATGTGAGAGAGAGAGATCGATTTTGTTGTTCCACTTATTTATGGATTCATTGGTTGCTTCCTGAATGTGTCCTGAGTGGGGATCAAACCCCCAACCTTCAGGTTTTGGGGATGATGCTCTAACCAACTGAGCTACCCAGCCAGGGCACACTTTTCCTTTTGATTTGCTTTATAAGTATATAGTTTATAGTTGCTTATTTAATTTCTACATCATTTTAGAGTTTAAGAACTTGGGGTGGGAATAAAACCCCCTGCTATAGCATTTCTATGGGACACTCAGTTTCCATTGACAAAGTTTGACCATCAGGACATTTGTTGGGACTTTTCTTTAAAAAAAATGTCTTTACTGATTTTAGAGACAGAGGAAGGGAGAGAGAAACGTGGATCTGCTGCCTCCTGCAGGCCCCCTACTGGGGATCGAGGCCACAACCCTGGCATGTGCCCTGACCAGAATGGACCTCCATGCACGGTAGGATGCCCAACCAACTGAGCCACACCATCCAGGGCTGAGCTGTTGGGACTTTTGGAAGTGGCTGTCAATCCTGGTACACCTGCTTTAACAAGCTAGGCATACTCTGTAATTCATGCATTAAATGTCAGTGGAGAAAGTAATCCTTACCTGAGGACCATTGCTCTTAGAGTAGTTGCCTTGTGCCCTTGACCAGGAATGGAACCCTTGACCTTTCAGTGTGTAGGTGGACACTCTAACCACTGAGCACACTGGCCATTTAGTCCATTTTAACCTGACTTTAAAAAGACATTTTATGGAAAACAAATGATAAAAGTAGCCTTGTAAAACCACCTGTCCATTTCACAGAGCGGGTCACTGAAGTGAGGGCAGGTGCAGGACGCCTGCCACGCCCAGACCCTGCGTCACTGCTGACTCGCGGAGTCCCTGGGATCGAGGGCCTGGCTGTGGAAGAATGAAGGCAGCACAACTTTCTAGGCCGTGTTGAAAAAATATGAGAAAAGCTCTCATGCTTTTTTTTAAAACCACAAAGGCAGACAATAAAGACACGATTCCCCTAACTAGACGAAGTAGGTAAAAACCTGAAGGGGGCTTAGCAATCTTATTTCACAGAGGGGAAACTGAGGTCCCCCATGTGCAAGGATTTGCACAGGGGCAGAGAGAAGAAAAGGAAGTCTGGGGCCGTTCCCTGCGCTCGGTCTCCTATTTAATTGCTAGCTGTAGAGAACATACAACATCACGGGTCTAATTCTGCAGCGCACGGCTCTTCCTTGAGTAGAGAAACATCTGTGACAAACAAAAAGCAATGTTTTTTAAATTCAATTTTTGGGTAGATTTTTCAGTACTGTTACATAATCAGCTAAGCTGTGTTATTTGTGTCATATCTATGCTTAAAATTTCCCAAGTGCCTGACGTTGTGAGAAACATCACTAACCAACCATATGGCCAGATAACACACACACGAAACACACTAGCGTTAAAAAGCAGTGGTTTCCAACAGAATTTGGTTGCTGAATGAATGCTCATTCGAGTACTCTATTTCCCCATGGGTCCTAAAACAAAC